TACGTATACGTCGACATTCCATGTCCATTATTGTGAAACCCGCGAGACAACAAAAACACAGCTCCGATCACAGCGTCCTCCATCCTCCTGTTGTTATCGTTGTTCTTATTTGTTTCTGTTGTTGAACGCCGCGCACAAATGACATCGCTGTCGACCGGCTTATGTCATTTGCTAGTACACACTGTCGGTGCGAATGCAACCCTTTAAATGGTACTGGGAAATAGTTCGCGCAAAATCGTTCCAGTACTTTAGTACTGTACATTTAGTTCTGGAACTAAAGCGGTGCGAAAGGGCCTATACACAGTGGTCAAATAAGGATGCACTGCTCACTCTACCATTCATTTCATCTTCCGCCCTAGAATGCGTCCATATGATCCTTTGCCATCAGAACAAACATACAGATGCACTTCCATGCAATCATACATACACTAACATTCGAAGGACTCAACAAGAGGCTCTTCATGGCCTCCGGATCAGGCTTTTTCTATTGCTATTGCCAAGTTTACTGACTGCTCATATTACAGACGGGTTTCACAGCTTTCTACCTATCTAACAGAGATAATACAGAGAGATAGATACTGAGAGAAAGAGAGAGCACATGCAGTGTTTTTCCTCTCATTTCGAGTGTCATGTGAAACAACCACACCACAGACTGTTTCACTGAACAATCTAATGACACGAACACTCTTTTGCTACCTAAACAACCTGCAGTCCTTAACCTTATCTCTTCAACTGATTGCATTATTTAAACAAAGAATCACCCGTCCGTTCCAACCTTAAACAAAGCAGCCTCAGCCTAACTTCTAATGACCGAGACAGACTCCCCCCTAAAAACACACACGCACACACATTTGTTGCGGGTCGGCGAGCATGAGGCCTGCTGAAGCGCCTAATCCCGCGTCTGTAGACTCCAGGAACACACCATGATGCACCTTCACGCGATCGCAGATTAGAACCCTTAATCCGGCTCTCTCAATCTGGAGATCTTTTTATAAAACCTCACAGCTAATCCAACAGTGGTTTGTTTACTGTTCAAGACCTAGTTTAAACCAGGCTAGATTATTTTACTAAAAAACAAAAACCTTACTTCTTCATGTGTCATGTCAGGGTTAAATGCTGGTGTTCTCCACTAAACTGCCCTACTAACCATGTTAATGTCTTAAGAGATTAAATAAAAAGCTTATGCAAAACAAATAGGGCTTCGGTTTCTAAAGCACATTACAGTGTCAGCTGAATTGATTCTATTTTCAATCCTTTTGCTGCCTCTCTGTCGCCATCTCATCCTTGTCATTTCGTGCGCAAATTAAAAAATTTTAAATTCTTGCTGCGCCGAGGTGCTCTTTGCCAGTGCGGCTAAAATGAAAAGGTTTTGTGGTGGCAGTGACCAGATTTTAAATGCAGCGAGATCAATAAATAAGAAGGGGCTGCTTGAGCATAATCTCTGAATGTCTTTGAGTACGTATGTGTGTGCGAGGGTCAAATACTGCATGTCCTGCAGTCAGCTGTCACAGCGCAGTAGATTCTCTCCCATCCCACAGCTCTCGCCAAATCCCACCCAGCCTCCCTTCTGCCCTCTCCCACAAGAGGAGCATCATTCCAGCCATTCCTGAAATCATGGCTATTTCTACTCTGGATGCAAATATAGCGATAAGCACTAGAACAAATAGGCCAAACTACTGGCATTTCAAACATGGGCTAAATTATCTCAGCGGGTGGAAAGGAGCACTGCAGTGGCAACCCACGGCACAGGCAACATGACAGTCTCCTGGAGGGCAAACAACACCGGAGACACAACCGGCACAGGGTGGAAAAAAACAGCCCTCATCTCTCCAGAATACTCCTCTGCCCGGAATCACTAATGCACTCAAACCCTCATTGAGGAGCTGAGATAGATAGATAGAAAGAAAGAAAGAAAGAGAGAGGGGGGGGGGGGCAGATGGAAAGCAGAACAACAGGGGCACAGACAGGCGCACAGAAAGGATTCAGAATGACGACCTTCAGGTGTCGAGCACAAGATCGGCCTCATTGATTAACAGCAGAGGCTGGCGGAAAGATGCACATGTATTCCGAACGTACACTTCCCGAAGCTTAATTCCTTACTGTGAAGTTACAGCAAAGGAGATTTTTCTTTCTCAAGTCTCAATATGAAGCCTTTCTTGAGGGAAAAATCAACCCTTTCACCTTGTCTGTGAAAAACAAGCGCTCAGACAGCCCAACAAAAATAACCTTGAGTTTCATCAGGGATATTCTCACATTGAATGATAAACAGAGGCCCGAGGGACACTGAACCAAAAAGCAGCTAATTGCCTGCCTCTGAAATTCGGCCCCTGTGTCCTCCCTGTGTTTATCTGAAAACAGAGTCAGTTTGGTGTGACCCGCTTCAGCTGCTGGTAGAAAAGCCCATTCATTTAACTGTCCGCAGAAACGCGAATCTCTGGCTCCTCTGCCTCGTTACCATGGAACGGCAGGCTAAAGGTAAAGAAGATCATGTTTGCGACACAATTATCAAGTCTGCCGCAACCGACTTGCGCTTCTGCTGACACAAACAGTTGTCTCCCGAGCGCTAATGTTCACGCTAAACAGCAACCCACATAACCCGCTATTATGTAAGAGCCAACTGTTGAGAGGAAATTCTACAATCAAAGCTGTTTGCTAACGACAAAATAAATCATTAGCCAAGTAAGTCAAGATAGAGATGCACTTATCCATGATACCATTTAGCGTCATGCCAACTGTCTTCTCACAAAGCAGCACAGGGAAGAGTATCTGTCAGTATTTACAAGGTGATTTGCCAAGTCGTTATGAGTGCAAGGACGCAACCTGCTCTGAAAACAAATTCACCGCTGACCTTCCAGCATCGAGTATTCAGGGCTGATTCATTTGGCAGTTACTGGCCACACACGTGGCGCACCACAGCTTGTATAATCAAGCCCGTGCTTGCGTTCTAGCTCTTTAAATGACAGGTGTTATGATCAGGTGAGAACTTCTCGCTGCCTCTGACTTTTATAGAACGGTTAAATCAAATGACAGTCCGGAAACTCTAGGCTGAGCTTTCCGAAGTTCATTGAAATCAATTTTGCCATTAACGGCGCAATGATTGATGCATGTTTAAAAACCTAAATCAATGGGTTATCACTGAAGATGCTGCAAATAATGTGTCTCTAAATCATAACAAAGGTTTTAAATCATCTGAATTTGGTTTTACAATGGGTTCATTTACCAAACATAACCAAGGCATAAGTAATCTTCTAGATGGGGTGTCTGTCAAGTAAGTTGTTAAAGTGAAAGCACAATGTTATACACTGCAGTTGACTATAATATCATCTAATCCAATAAGATGTAGAATGAAACCCCACAGAGCCATTTAGACTATGAGACACAGGCAGGGCTATGCGTGTTAACTGCTCTCCAGTCATTCATATGTAACAGCATGAGTGGAACATCCAATAAATTCAAATCATCTTTAAATGAACCACACTGATCAGTGCCCGGTTTTGGAGGAAGTGTGATTATAAACTCAAACTCATGTGCATTTGGGATTGCCTGAGCTAAACTTGCATTCGACAGCTTCTGCACTCGAGACCCATTTCTTACAGCCCACATTTTCTCGTAATCAGCTCATTACACCACAATCATTTGTTGTTGTACACACAACAAAGACATGCAAACAGAGCTTAAACAAGATCCTTCTAAAGATCCCAAATTAAACTAATTCCTAGATACGAACATCTTCTCACAAGCCTAACCCATATCCTGTCGGGAAAACAACAAACATCCTGGACAGAAACGTGCGGCTGACACTCTAACCCCGAGCAAAGTTCTTTTTTTTCTTTTTTTTTCCTGTCTTCGCAGCTACAGACATCCAGTGGTCTGGGTGTGCTTGAGACAGCACAGTGTGAGATCCCTTCAAACCCCACAAAGCACAAACAGGCCCTGACAGATTTGCTCTCCCTAATTCGTGGTAAGAAAAACAGCACAAGTATATAAGAGATCTTCTGTGTGCTTAGAATAAACACAAACACACACACTCACAAAGAAAGGGAAAAAAACATCCAACAATAGTCATTTCTAATGGAAGAAGAGAGTGGGTGAGACTGTTCCGTTTCAATTCACTGATACCGCTAATGGCTTCTTAGTGGTTCCATGAAATCAAGCAGCTGTCAAGGCGATGCATTGGGAACAGGGAGGAAGAGGCGGCATTCCCACAAGAGAAAAGCATCGCGTCAGGATGTTTGGCTAAACATCTGCTCCCCTGCTCTCATGGCTTTAGCAGAAGCACATACTCAGACAAAGAGATGGGAGGTGGAAACACTGACTTCTCCATCTGAGGCATTCTGTAAAAACAACAGCCTGCTCCATGCATAATGACTAGGGCACTGGGCTAGATGAGACAAGAGCCCTACTGATACAAAACCATTTAACCAGCCTATGGCTAGCCTGCGGGTTTTGCATGGCTGACCACTAATTGTAAAAAGTTCATGACTTGCATAAAAGAAACTTTCAAATATGTAACACTTGCTTTTTTGAAGGTGGAGAGGACTGTTCATGCACAAACCACTACAAATTATCTTTAGCTACACTGTGTGTACATGCACAAATAAAACACACGGGCTCTATACAAAAGTACATATGCATATCATAATCTAACTAGAACACCTGATGTCTTTTAAATGAGGAAATGACTGCACAGTGAGACCATAATTATTAACCTCGTGAGCCATGAATTCATGTGACAAACTCAAATAGCCTATTGTCTGAAAGGATCAAAATACGATTCTGGTCATTCGGGGGGGGGGGGAATTAATCTCTGAAATGGATGTGAAACCATAGTTCACTGATTCATCATCGCAGCACATTTTTAAGAAATGCTTCATGGGGAATTATGACATGTTTAAACTTCAAAAAATAATAATACTAATAATCTCAATTTCAGACAAAGACCATTAACAGTTCACCTCACTAAATGACATCATTACGTGCTGATGTCATTCATCCACCTGTAAACACCGAATCATTAAACACCGCGTATGATTCTCGAGATCACACCAAAATGTTTGTTTTTACTCATAAGGAGACATTCCGACAGCAAAACGAACCGAAAAGCAGAGTTTTCCACCAATGTCAAGCGAGATAACAAATTCGACGCTTTCTTGGCAAAACATCACATTTTACTTCAACTTCACATGACGTCACCGCCGCCACACAAGACATTTCTAAACTTTCTGCCTGTAACGACATGTGCAGCTCGAGACCTAACACACGGCTCCGCCGGTTCAAATGAGCCAAGATGGCGTGAGGCTTGTTGTTTAGAGGGCAGAAAAAATGGAGGATATTGTAATATACACAAAGGGATACATTTCAACAACTCGGCCAGGCGGCAGCTGCTGCTCTTTAAGGAAGCAACAAAGATAAGAGCAACGCGACGCTCCAGCGCAACGCCAGCGACCCGCTCCGACCGAGCAGGCGATTTCCCCGTCGAAACTACCAAACCGTGTGCTTTTATCAAAAGGAATTGTAAAGTAAATGCTTTTATCATGTTGTCTCAAATGAAGAGCTGTTAGCTTTTGCCATCATCTGAGAGACGGACATTAAACAGACCAAAGGTAGCGTCAGCTCCTCCAAGTGACTCTCCCGCATCAAATAAGCCCTCTAAAATCAAATATTACATTTTTACGTACCCAAACGAACGACGGGGAAGCGCGTGCTCTTTTAAAACATGTTTGGAAACATTAAGGAGTGTTTACCAACAGTTTACATTTCGAAACGTAGCAGTTAAAGCGCACGCGAGAGGGCACAAAGGCAGATTCCTAGTATGAAGTCACAACCCCCGCGCGCAACATTGTGTCCACTCGTAAAGTTTTGCGCTATTCGCAGTCGCATCGGAATATTTCTCCCGATCGGCTTTTCCCGACGACGCCGTTGAAATGCTTTTGACAAGTTTTGCGCTTTTTACGTTCGAGGGACACGCGTCGCCAACCTAAAGAAACTATGGAGTTAGCTGCCCTCGCTAAGAAATCAAGCCAGCCAGCGACACGACATTGATTCTCCAATGAAATAACTGATCCAGCTCTCAGTAAATTCAAAACTTACCCTTAGTTTTGACACTTTGCGTAATTCCGCCTCGATCGGGGTCGAAGTATCACTTCAGGTAGGCTAACGTTGCTCTTTGTTTTCCTTTTTCGATTTGCTTTTGGAAGAGGCCAGTGTAGCAGGAGATGATGAAGAAGGGAATTGGGCAGTAATTGAGTCTCTGTGTGTGAGTGAGTGAGTGAGTGACTCTGTGTGTGTGTGTGTGTGTGTGTGTGTGTGTGTGTGTGTTAGTTACGAACAGCAGATTGAAGGAGAGTCCTTTCAAGGTTTTTTCTCCCTCACTTCAAGGAATCAAAGTGACGTCAGCGGACAATACTTAAACGATCAAACTTTTATTCGCCGTGTAAAGGCAGAAGTATGTAAGTGAACGATTTATGCACATTGCACGCTGTATTTTTAGCATCGCTTACTGTTTACAAACATCTGTCAATGACGAAGAGCTGAAAACACTGTAAGGCTGTTTTTTTACGCTTTAGGTTGTGTTTTATGTTGTCACCTCTCTCTCTCTCTCTCTCTCTTTAAGACGATTTCAGAAGTGCAGTCAGTTCTTACTCGTTATTGATATTAATAATCCATATTTGCATCATGGCTGAGCATTGTTTTGAAATCGCCTGGGGTGAATTTTTTAAAAAATCAAGTTATGTGATCAATTATCAAAATTGGCACTGTAGTGTAGCCTATACAAGTTACAAGGCAGCACGTGTAAATGAGATTGTGCTTGCTAATGAACGTGAAGACATTATGCTGTGCAATAGCAGTGGAAATCTGATAATATGGTGTCCAGTGAAATGGAAATTTAATTCTAAGATTGGTTACTTGTCATTCAAAAGCTGTCAGACGCTTGATCAAACTCCATTGCATTTGTCTCCAGTTACCACAATAGCTAAATTCAGGGATTATGGATTAACCCGGCTAATCTGACCCTATTTCCCCTCAAATCATCAGGAGAGTGAGACAAGGTGATAACGTTCCGATTTGACAACAGAATTTCCGTAATCCGAAAGATAGTGGCATCATTTGAGCCGATGTCGTCTCACGGTGAAAAGAGAAAAAAGAGGATCTGCCCCCATGACGCTCAGGAGGAACAGAAAATAAAAGGCAGAATAATTGGAACTGTTACTTTTAGTATGATGCTCATTGATCTCTCATTTGAATTACACTTGCGGGCAAAGCGAGAGGCGGCAGAATGGCCCTTTACAGCGGGAGCCGAGCTGGGCACCACGAGGCAGACAGCCATCTGTGCCTAATTGTGTGCTTTTTCTCCCTGCCGCTGCACTCACAATCAGCAACAGGCTGAGGGGGGCCCTCTGACCTAGACTGGGCCAGGGGGGTGGCATGGGGTGAGGGATGAAGGGGGTGGGAGATTATTTCATTGAGCAAGAAAACAACAACAAGGGGGGCGAGGAGGGACACACTGCCACTCCTTAGTGGGAGAGGGGGGTAGCACGAGTGAGAGAGAGGAGCAAGAGTGGGGCAACTCTTTGGAGTTTAGCTTCACGCTTCAGATTTTGTGAGACTTGCGTGCGTTGAGGTTTTACTTTGTGAGATAAGCAGAAAGCTGCTTTTCTCACTAAGACAGGATATGTATGCTTGTGTACAATATGTGTGTTTGTGCACACTTAATTTTCATTTAAATATTTTAATTAAAAAAAAATTTATAGTAGTGTCATCTCACTAAGACAGGATATGTATGCTTGTGTACAATATGTGTGTTTGTGCACACTTAATTTTCATTTAAATATTTTAATTAAAAAAAAATTTATATAATAATTTTTATATTTATTTAAATATATATTTGCTATATACTTTTTTTTTGGCCACTTTTGGTTTCTCCTAGTAAGTTTCACTACAGTAAAAATGAGTAGTGTTATTTTAGTATAATAGAAACTATTGTTTTTATTATAATATTTATAATATTTAGATTAAATTTTTATGTTTTACGTTTTCATTTTAGTTTCATCTGAGATTTTTTTTTTTTTGTAGTTTTTGTTTTTTATATGCATCTATTTAGCTTTTATTGATTTTTATTTCAGTTGTAGGTATTTTAGTACATGAAGTTAAACTAAAATAAAATGAGAAATGTTTGCTTTGACAACTACCTGGAAAAAAAATATTTTATATTTTATTTTATTTCAGTTAACATTTATTTAAATTAACAAAAATGTTTTTTTTATGGTTTTAAAGATAACTAGTCTGTAATAACCATAATAATGAGGGATATAAACATGTTAATGCTAGAGAGAAAAACAGTGGATAACTAACGTTTATACATGTAATAACTGTATATATTGCAAGCTGTCAGGCACATTTTAATAATTTAAGTTTACACTGTTGTCAGAAAATACTAGTGTTATAGTCATGTAACTACAACTGGTGAGCTAATCCCGATTATAATTGCTGACCGTTTGTGACTTTACTGCTAAATACCGCTGCTGTCATTTTAATGTGCGTGTAATGAAACTAAATTTGAAATTGTTCAAAGGAGAACCAGCCACTGGTCTTTTTGGAAGCATCAGAGCGTACAGTGGACATGCACATTCGTTTACCAATTTATGCATGCGTTCATTGATCCTCTCTGACCCCCTCCTCACCTGTAGAGATGAAGCCGGGTGAAAAGGGATGCTTATGGAGGGACATGGACAGGCAGGCAGACCTCCGGGGATCAGCGCTCCGGAGAGTGGGAGGACAAGATGAGACGATGGTGTGCAAAACGTGCATCTAAACATGTGTGCATACAGTCCATGTTTATCTGTGATCATCAGACCACCCCGGCCACAGTAAGAAAACAGTAATTGTGTGTATATTTGTGTGTGTGCACACATGATGGCAATATTCCTCCCTTTGAGTGACTGTGTATAACCTCCTCCCCTCTTCCAGCAGAGGCACACCGGGGTTTGTAATTGTGTTGGTGGTTCTTCATTAGAGCCTGTGTGTGTGTGTGTGTGTTGGGGGTTGGGGCGTGGGTGGTTGGTTGAGGAGCTGAGGCTCTTAGGACTATGAGCTGCGTCATTAACGGAGGCTGGGCCTCTCTGCATGCAGCCAGAATGTCAGCCGTACCTCGGTCATTTGAAACATAATAAGCACAAGTACAATGAGTGCAATGCAAGCCTCCTGGGGGAGGGGGGAAGTAGAGGGAACACAGCCTGTCTCTTCCATTGGACTTTTTTTTTTTTCTTAAGAGGCTTGATTAGAAGATATAATAACCTTGCAAATAATAACTGGTAAAGATGATCTCCCCCGAGATTGATGGAAACCAAATTAATGTGGCGATTTGGATTTAATTGTTATTTTTCTATTAGGGTGCATAAAGACAGAGGAGATGTCCATCTAGAGCGGGAGCTGTGCTTGCAGCTATTGATTTTTTTTTTCCTCCTCTTTTCTTTCCACCCCTCTTTCCTTCTCTCTCCAACACGTATTTTAATAATCTCAGAACACCACATTCCCTAATACCATTAACAACACTAACCTTCCAGCGCCACAAAAGCGTTTAATTTCCAATGACACAAATTTCTCTCCAAGAGACTCAAATAGTGTCTTTACGCAATTTGGTGGCCTTAAGGTTTTGCTTTCTGGAATAATTGAATTGCGATCCTCTCACTTAGTCTTGCATAAAATCGCTAGGCAAAGAGCTAATCAGTGCAAAAGAGTTTCTTCGCTTTGCCTTATTAGCCCGTTTTAAAAGAGTAAAGAGCGTTTTTCTCCCGACTGACTTTGGAGAAACTGACGCTCACGTCAGAAACTGATAATTAGACTAGAATCGCTTCGAACACCGATGCAACCAGAAATGTTGCTGTTAGGTATTCAAGCTGTTTGTTCCTCTGTCAGCGCTGCTGTTTGTATCCATAAATAAAAGATGACCTTTAAATGTTTACATAATTTATACAGCCATAAATTCTTAATATATCTGACTCCAAATGAGAGAGCGAGCTGCTTGATTATGGTTCATAGTCGAGTTAAAATACAGGCTGTCTGGTGTGATATATACACACACCTGTATGTGAGTCAGCAATGAAAACCATTTTTATATTTGACTGGGGCAGAGGCTGTCTCTTCTACCTACTCAATGATTAAGCATATATATAGAGAGAGCAGTTTTAACACTGGGAAAGTGTTTAGTTATATTTAGAAGACATAAAAACTGTAATTTTGGCTTTTAAAATGAACATTTATGTTACAGTGCAGCTCAGCAGGTTACAAATTATTACATCATTCATTACCAGGCTATAAAATGAAAACAAATTACTCTGTAGTTAGCTGGTAAATTCATCAGAAACTGCAACATTACATGGTTTACATTGGTTGAATGTTAGTTTGACCTTGATGATGTAAGTGTGTGAGTCAAATGAAACGCTTACAAGCCGTCTGCTGAAGGAAATAACTCAAGAGTCTACATTGGTGGAAAATTTATTTAGGACAGAAGTTTTTTTTCCTGTCTCTATCCCATGTGGAATATTCCCTACATTAATCGCTCAAAACAACGAATATGTCAAGAAAATTACTTATGTGACAGGTGCAGTTGACAGCTGCAACACAATAACCTGCATTGTAAAGGGAAAAAAGAAGCCACATATTTTTATAATAAAAAAAAAAATGCAAGATGCAGTTTCAATGTCAGCCAAAAAATATTTTCTATTAATTTTGCACCCCAATCATGATTATTAGTGCATATAGCATCATTATCATAATGGCTGCACATATCGCTGACCTTTGACCTATGGATGTAATGTTTCTGCAAAGGAATGCGATCAGATGCTAACCTAATTTTTTTCACTGTTTACTGTAGGTGCATCATCCCTATGTGGGGAAAGTCTTGTTAATATGGCGGCGATGAGGTAAACAGATAGGAAGTGATGGAGTGGCAGACCCACGGGGGATAACCACATGAGGGGTGACAGACCACTGACATCAGCTCTTGTTCTCTTGCCTTGCTCGCTTGCTCTCTCCATCTCTCTCTTCTCCACACACACTCATTTCCAGGAAGGGGTCATTAATGTGAGGGAAAAAAACTGAATCCAGTCATGGCTTTAAAATGGAGTATCTTCTCATAGAGATGCAATCATTCCTAACGGGTCTGAGTCAGGCTGCAGTTCTCACAAGAGAACAGCACAAAGAAGCTTTTAATTCCTCCATTTAGAGACAAAATACATCATTTATCATTAAAGCACTGTTTGGAGGGGAAAAGAGTACTTTTTAGATTTTATTTGAGAGTAGCTCCCTAAAGTGGTTAGCAGGGTTCAACTTAACCTGACCAATAAACCGAGAAAATGATCCGCTTTTCGTTCTCTTTAACGCACCAGCCCTCTTATAAAACTACAGCAGCGGTTCCAACATCCATACAGTAGTTAAATGTTCACATTTAACAGTCGTAATTGACATTTTCCCTCGCTCCCTTCAGCAATGATATATCAAAGAGTGCATCAGCCGCCGGAGGAGGAGAGAAAACATTAGGAGGATTAATAAAGGGGGGGAGGAAAATAGATTGAGCGTTCACCAAGATCAGTAAAATAGGATCTGTCAAGCAACCCTGAAACATCCATCCTGTGGAAAAAAAAGACAGAGGTACATTTTCATGGATGGAAGGAAGGAAAAACAGGACAGCCCGTGCGGCTGATCAATTTCCCTAGATTAGCTTTCAGCGGCTGTGCCCGCTTCCATTTGTAAAGATAATATTATGTAATAACCCTTTTGAGCGACTATTTAAATTATCATACTGCCTACAGTGCAAGGCGCTAATGGAAATATTTAACATAAATTCACTTAAAAAAATGATGCCTTTAACAACAGTTGTAAGAATTATTCTGAAATTAAAGGAGTGTGCATAAATGATTCTCCCTGGCCTTGACTCGCTGTTCTCAATTACATTCTGCTCAACTGGAACAATGGAACGATGCTAGCACGGCGCTTTATCGCGCATATATATGCGCTGTTACGAATGTCATATGGAAGCTATTTATGGCCACAAGCATCGGTGCCAAGGGCATAGAAAACAGGGATGTTATTGAATCAATTCAGAATGTGCAAAGGAGCAGTGCGACGATAGATCAGGTAGAGCCCAGCCGTTGCTGGGTTCCACTTGAAAAACGATAGCTTGGCTTTTGTTGTGCGCCTTCAAAGACAGGCATCTGAAAACCCCAAATGAAGAGACAAAGCTTTAAGCATTCCTCAGTCTTCTTCGCCTTCTACAAACTCTTTAATGATCTTATTTCAAAACACCTTCCTGCGGACCTCCCCTTTCCTGTCTGGCTAACGCCAAATTGCATAATGCCCAACTGAACGCTCGCATTTGTTCTCTCTTTCCTTCTCAGGAAATCTATTTAAATTTTCACGCCAACTGTCAGTCCGAATCAAACCTTGATTTATGCAAAAACAACGTCTGCTTTAATTAGACATTTCTCCTCACTGTGCTCTAGGCGGCAAGCGGGGTTAGACATTCGGAGGAACCTCCTTTTTGTATGATCAAAACTAGGCCATCAGCAACACCATGATAATAGCCACGTCTCAACACCCTAGCAACATACGAGAGTGTTTTTATCCCCCATGAGCCATCCATCTCCACTCAGCAGGGTGGTTTTGGGTGGAGCACGGATAATCACAGCAGTCACTATACACCTGGAGGACTGGAAAATAATAAACAACTAACAGGTAGATTTTCCCCATCAGCTCTTTATACTTTGCCAGGCACTCGAGAAAGAGAGAAAAAAGGAAAAGGAGGAATGTTTAAGCAGCAAAATTACATTAATCAAGAAAAATTAGCTGGAATCCACCACATAATGCACTTGTGCTGGATTAACGTCCGTGATCTTCAAAACGAAAGTAAACCATGTGTTTTTGCTCGTTTTGGATTGCGACACTTCTTGATTATCCCAATTGCAATCATGTAACAAAACAAAACAAAAGTGGCTGAAACCTCGTGCTAATTTCACAGGCTGACATTTCGGATGGAAAATGCACCAAACAGATGCTCAGAAGAGAGTGACTCTCTTGTCAGATGTTGGGGAAGTGCGTGTGAGTAACTACAATCACATGAATAGGGCAGACAAACATATTCTCACAACCAATTCTATTTTGGGGTCTGTGCGCTGCTTTGCTGACTGAAGTGGCATTCTGTCCTTTGTGAAAGCATGACCCTCTGAGGTGCGTTCATGTGCTGTGAACCTCAGCCGGGGGGGAGCAAGAGGTTGGAGACCAGGGGAAGGCGTGGGAAAGCGACTAGAGAACGAGCGAACGGAGGCCGGTGGAAAAGCCGAGCGGTCTGCAGGCATTCCTTTGTGATTAGGCTGCACATCTGTGGAGAAACAGGCCAGACATTCTTTCAGCCGTGTCTGATTCTGCTGACTTCTACCCTTGATCACTTCGCTGTTGTTTTTTCTTATCAGTAAAAAAAGAAACTCAGCTGTGAACCTTTTATTTGGTGACTGCAGACTCCGTTTCCTAATACGCGGTCTGAATCAGCCCCTTTTAACTTTTGTGCTTGGATTTAAAGTACCAAAAATCAACCAGGGAGTGGAAGCTTGTGTCCTTGCTCTCAAAAAAGATATGAGATTTCAACGCCGGGCACCCATGTACAGTGCTTCCTTCCTCTTTTGCAAACATAAACCTCAGAACCCTTCCTTAATCCAGTCATCCACCGGTCGGAGGCCGAACATGACAGCAGACGGACAAGGCAAACACTGGTGGGGGTGGTGCTTGTGTTCCGTCTTTGTTCTGATGGTGACCTCTTCATTATAGGGCCTTTGTCACCATGTAAGGATTAAGAGTGAAAGAGAGCGCTTCCTCTGTTAGGCAGGGCTCAAATCTGGCTCCTAATAAAACGCTCTTCCATATGTGCACATCAGGGTGTGTTTTAAAGATGTTTCCTCTCATCCTGCTCTTTAAAAATGGATTTGAGTACACAGTGGTGGACTTCTGTAAAGTAAATCCGTTATTAAATAAGTAGCTTAACTCTGGCCGTGATCAATGACCCAGATATAAAGAATTAATTAATATTCTCAAGAAATAAAGTAAAAAAGCCTGCTGTTTAATTCATTTAACTGTTCAATCAAAAAATGGATGCAATTGAAAACGCATTTTGTATCAGCTATCAGTCTTCCCAGACTCAGAAATTGATTTTTCTTCTTTCTAAGCTTGTGTGCACAATGACAAATTGTTTGCCTCAGTTAATCAAATAGCTTTATGAATATAGTTAGTGTATTTTAAGACATTGCAACTCGTAAAGCAACATTTCTGTTTGCGTTGTTCAAATGAATGGCTTATTATCACGCTTCGCAATATTTTAATTAGCACAGTGACAGAACAAATGCCATGTGGCTGTGAGCAAACACAATGAAACGGTGCGGTTATTACTGTATCAGATGCATTATGCCGCCCTCTACTGGACAATTAAACAAATAGCCGGAAAAGCAGCTATAAAAACCACAATAAATCTTTCACATATGCCATTTTGTTCAAATATTGTTCAGTTTAGTGTTTTATTTACTGAATTGATGTTTTAATTTTATTTACATTTGAATGCTGCTAGAAAAATTACAATTATCTACCAGGATTTATTTCACATTACTGACTTTGTATGCCACCTGCATTTTAAAATTTTACAACATAACTTGAATTATTCAGTGAACAACATTATACAACACTATGACACTAACACTATGGTTATTTGTTATAACAGGGAGGGGGCAAGAGTAAATGTGCAACATGTAGACAAAATTCTGAGTAAAGTGTAAACAATTAAAAAAATGAAGCTTACAAATATTTCAAGTCTTGATGTTTTATATTTTAAACCGAGTCTCTTGATACTGTCAATGTACTCTCTGGTTTCACTGTAGTTGTGTTTTCAGTTGTGTATTAGTAAATTTAGGCTACTTTTATATACATGGACTTTAGAAAAATATATATTGCATTCGTTTTCATATAAGTTTAAATGTAATGGGTTTTCAAATTATAAAAAGAATACACCTAATTAAATTATAGGCTAGCCTACATTATCTCCCCCAAGATCATTTGTGTATCAAAGAAATAATTTTTTTTTCACCAATATTAAAATAGGTCTTGAACACTGGAACACCAAAATGTGATTAGAGTTAACTAAAACGTAAAAAAAAAATAAACAAGCGGTTTCAGGGAAGTTTGTATTTATATATTTTCCATCATCTGCAAATGCTAACTTGCTGAATAGAGCCAATAGAGATGTTCGAGAAGAACCTCTAATTTTATTTTGGATTTTACACCCTAACACGTGTATAATTTACCATGGACAATGTCTATGTAATTTACGTGCAGCATATCAATGTTAAAGAGAAAAGAGGGCGGGGCGTATTTCGCAACACTGTCATTCATTGGCTGGGGCAGCTGACAATCAGCCGCCGTGAGCAACGTACGCGTTTCCTGCGGGTGTCCGTTTACACTTTAAACCACGTGACCCTCACTATATCAACACACGGACGCCATTAATATTAAAGGCAGAGAGACGGAAAATCAGAGGTGAGTTCACACGGAAGTGATGCCAATCGGAACATTTTAACACGGAGAAATTGGTGCGTTTTAACGGGTAGCGTTAATATAAACGCTTACGATTTAATTGCATTCTGTTACCCAGCGAGCTTTATTCTTGGTGTAGTTACGAAGTGTCCTGGCTAACAAAAACAAGGCCTAGACATCTGGCAGAGTGCTGGTTTATTAATGCGACTGACTCCTGGGATGACATGCAACCTAGAGCGTCTAGTTTAACGGGTCAGTGGCGCGTTTCATGTCCTTTTTTGAATGCATTGAGTTAAATCCGTCTGATTTACTGGCGCAAAAGCTTTTGTACATGATAAATACTCCGTGTTTACCTCCTCCGTGAGCTATTTGTTTTTTTGTAATGTGCTTGTAACCCGAGAGCTATGCTGAGCTAATGCAAATCACTGACATCTCACCTGTTTGATATGCATCAGCTGTGGTTTACAATCAAAATGTCGCTGTTTGTGTCCTGTCAAGTTCATGCAAGTGCAACAAAAAGGACTTGAACATTGTGGCCTGGAGGCCAGAGAGACATTTATCAGGTCACTGCTATTATCGAAAATCTGGACCATAAATGTAATCTCGAATCTATTTCAAAATAGTCCAAATTTGCACCCTTTGACAAATATTGTAAGTACTAACTGATGCACATGGAATCAAGGAAGAGCACATATGTGCTAAACACATGTCGAAACCTCAAGATGAGGAAGCTGCATAGAGGCATTAACTTAAAATGGCTCCTCATTTTATTAGTGTGCTGTTTTGTGATTTTTGTTGAGCGTACGAGCTTGGGTTTAAGAAAGTGTTCCAGCACTGGTTGCATAATTCAAAATAGTCCAAATTTGCACACTTTTTGACAAATATTGTAAGTACTAACTGATGCACATGGAATCAAGGAAGAGCACATATGTGCTAAACACATTTCGAAAAGCTGCATAGAGGCATTACCTTAAAATGTCTCCTCATTTTATTAGTGTGCTGTTTTGTGATTTTTTGTTGAGCGTACGAGCTTGGGTTTAACAAAATGTTCCAGCACTGGTTGCATAATCGGCGAACAAAGCCACAGGGTTTCACGCGGGTGTTTTTGTTCTGCCTCTTGTTACATACACGCCCTGATGTTAATGTATTTCTCATTCTGCTTGGCATTCACCTTTAGTACCTTTTGCAAATGTTGATCTATGAAAAATACCCTGAAAGAAAATGGATGCTTATTTCCTCACAGTCTTGTCTTTCGAAACCCATGAGTTTCTTGCTTCTGTCAAACAGAAAAGGATAATTTCACTAGCCTGTCTTAGCTTTTCATTTTCATAAAATGAATGTGAATAGTGGCCCTGGCAAATTTTGGTCTCGTCCTCAAACAAAGCTGTCATATATTCCAAATATTTTGGAGCCATAATGCAGAAGTTGCTAGTTTTTTGTTTTTTTTTGGTCACTCTTGTTGTGTGGAAGAGGGCAGCACAGATATTCCGAAGAAAGTTTAAAATGATGCAAGAGATGCAGCAAGCCATTTCACATGATATGATGCAATACAATTGTTGCTTTAAGTGTCTAAACTTTGAGGCCTACTATATATGTACTATATAATGACATTCTGTATCTAAACTACTTTCAAGTACAGGCTTAAGCCTGCAATAGCCTCTCTCTCACTTGCTCTTTTTCTGTCTGACACCTGACTGAAGCAGTGCTTTGGTGCCTTCAGGTTAAGTTTAGCAGTGTTCTCACTTGGCAAATGTGATTTGGAAAAAGCTTGACATACAGCAGAGAGCTTTCATTGCAGGAAGGTGCTATTTTGATACTCTGCTGAAGAGGGGTGGGTATTTATAGAGGGCTTGATGAAGGGTGCTGTAGGAAGATGTGTATGCAGGTTTACTGAGGGGAGGAAAATGTGTTATGATATAAAATGACAGGTTGAGGTGGTCCGTTACTGTCTGTGTGCCAGTGCCAGTGGCTTTTGTATTCCAAGGGTTACTGATTATTGGTAATGTCAGGCATTTAAGACTGCTCTGGGCCAATAGACTGATGATAACCAGTTTTGCTTTTTGTTTTTCTTCAGTGTGTCTCCTCTACTCTTGATGGCAGTAAAACATTGTTCAGATTCACGTTTTTGCCATTTTCACTCATACATGTAGTATTTTGAAGGTTAATGCATTGGAAATAAAGTAGACATTTACTCACCCTCATGATGTTCCAAACCCATATGACTTTGTTTTACGAAACAGGAGAATAAAGCTTCTTATTTAAGTGGAATCAGTCACCCAAACATTAAAATGTCGTCATTTACTCACCACCATGTCATTAAGCCCATAAGACTTTGGAATATAAATGATTATATTATTTATAAATGATCATGATTGTTGTCCATCCATTGAAAGCCTGCAACCAGAATGTGCTCACTTAATAAAGTACATAGAGATTGTAGAACTAATCCAAATTAATTGAGAGGTGTACGTCTTTTGAAAAGACCCAATCATTTTGAAGAACCGATATAATTTTGGTTTTTTACTTCTAGACATTGTTTAATGCACATCAAATACAGTATACAGAAGCTCAACCACAGTGGCTTGCTTGCGTGATTCACAAGAAATAACTAATTTGATTGGTTTTCACATTTTAAACAAAATGTTTGAGCTTATGCTTACCATATTTGATGTGTGCTCAATGCGTTGATCAATTTTTGTGTTTAAATAAAAGCCCAAATTTAAAATCTATTCCTCCTAATAAATAGATTAAAGTGCTGTAAGCCATTTGTATGGTGTACTTATTTTTTTGAAGCATACAAATTTTAGTTGCATGGACTTTTGAGAGTTTTGGGGAAATACTGCCGAGATGATATTAAAAATATATTTTAATAATGTATCAAAGGTGAACGGAAGGCTTACAGGCTTTGGGAACATCATGAGTACGAGTAAATGATGACGGAATGTTCATTTCTGCAAACCTTTAATAATGTGCTAATAGTTCTTTAACATGCAAGTTAGTCAAACGGGTTTGGAACAATGCGACGGTGAGTACATGACAGAATCTTTCTTTTTTTTTTTTTGTGAACTATGTCTCTAAAACCATCATACTGCTGGAGGCAACTTGTAATGCTTGACAGGTTATGGAAGTACATGACTAAAGACACGCCTGAAACATCTCATTACCAGTCCTGTTTTTAAATGGAATTTAGTGGTGACTGCTGTCATGGGTGTGCGGCTGTAACGTTGTGTGTCTCTCTCTGTCTCTCAGGGTGCAGTTTAGAGATGGATTCGAAGTCTCGTCGGTTTCCTTTTGCTGTCTCCAGCTCTTCCTCGCTGTCATCGCCCTCCTCCTCATCTTCAGCGCTCAGTGCGAGTCGGCTCTATGGCAGAGGGAGCGTCTTGGGAAGAGATCGCTTTAGCAGAGAAGCTTCTGTCAAATTAGACTCCGACTATCAGGTATTACAGTGACCCATTCATTTCCG